TCCAATTTCTGTCAGCCTCTCCCTCTTGCCGTTTAAAACCCCAGTCCTATCCAACTGACTAGCTATGGAAGTAGTTTGATCTTGTTTTAGCAACTCGGTCATACTGGTAGGCAGACTTAGACGAACGCACCTAGTCCGGAGTCCATCGGACCGTCGACGTGGTACATTTCCAGACGTTTTTCCCGGCATCGTCATGGGGTCGAGTTAAATACTTGAACCAGGGAGATGGCAGACAGATCCTACAGAGCAAGAGGGAGACTCTGATAAGACCTATGAAAGGAGGACTGCGTAACAATATGGCAGACTATGATCAACATTCCCATCACAAGAATGAAGGGGGGTGAGAAGGCAAGCGTGGAGTGTGGATGGTTCTTATGAAAGCAGCTCAAAAGGGCACACCATACCAATATGACCGAGTTGCTAAAACAAGGTCAAACAACTTCTATACGACGAAAAGAGGCCACACCATCTTGGTCTTCATACCTTTGGCTACCTATGCTTCATCAATCCGGCCATCGGCATCCATTACTGCAACTGACTTCGAACCCATGACGACAGGTACAGAAAGACTTCAGAAGAACCGGACAACAAACTGGAGGATTTGACGGACGTGACAATGTGCGTGTGTTTGGGTGTGTGTGCTGGTTGAGCTTTGACTGGATGTAGCGGTCGCGATGGTCCCGCATCGTCCAGACGGACGCAGGACTGCCGAGTTGAAGAAACCGTGCAAAATCACACTGTCGTAGACAAGCACACAAGGCTAAGGCTGCGACTGACGTGGGCTGGTATGGCCAGGCGCGGAGGCGGCATCCAGTCGTGCCACCATCTTGACTATGTGCATAAGCACACCACGGCGTTTATGTCGGTTGTCTGGGCCGTTTAGAGGACAAATGAGGCGAAAGTTTGTCAGATCAGGCTGAGACGATTAGTCGTTTGTTTGGTCTATTGGGCTCAGATAAACGCAGGAAGATACGCCTCGAGGAGGCATAAATCTCAATCACAAGCCTACCGTTGTTGTTTCGGGTGCAAAGGGAAAAAGGGACGATTAGGCTAACTCACGCAATCATACAGTTTTCGCGTTTCCCACCTCGTTTTATGCCGAGGTGGGTAGCTAAAGCATTGCACAGTCATGCTGGAATGCGCCCAACTTCTCTGGATAGATAGTACATACGACATTATCGGCCTTCTCTGCGGGGCTGATTAATGTGGCGCATAAAAGTGGAAAGTTCAATAAAAGACATCGTATTTCATAGTCCTTCCAGATGGAGAAGGGACGCTGGCGAGATAATCCCCAAATTTGCAGTTGGGATTAGGCGATCTACGCTCTCCCCAGGCCCGGAACCATCTTGTCCCGTCCCCTGGCGGTTCTTGGGAAACGGCATTGCCCAAAAGTTCACGCAAAACTGCCCTCCTAAAGTACGTTGGCATGCTTTGGTCTATCATTAAAGAGACGCCGTAGCAGAAGGAAGTCAACTAACCGGGCCTGATTAGCCGAGAAGAAGCTGGCTTAAGTGCACAGCGGTCAAGCCGGTCGAGACTAAAGCCAGGACCGTTGGGAGGCCAGAAAGACCCCGACAGAGGGGAGTGGTTCGAGGCCTTTATTCGCCTTAACCACGGCCGGAGGCTTATGTATTAAACAACGGTGAGTAGGCCGTGAAATAAGGCTACGCAAGGAGACCAAGAAAGTAGCAGACTGTGTGTCTGTGGGCAACGGAAAACGAAATGTACCACAGTTGAGAACAGAAAACAGTTGTTCTGCGTAGCAAGGCCTGTCACCAGCCTCTGTCCAAACTAAAGGAGGACGTATCTCCATCAGTGTACGTACTAATCCCAATCTCCGCCCGTGTGGCATGACGACAAGGCTTGACAAGACATCCGCCAATCACACTCGTAAAATTTTCCCCTCTTCAGTACGGCAGCCATTGTGGTATGTGCTCCGTGAGAGCGTTCTGTGGAGCCATTGCGGCAGAGGTGTGCAAACATGCATACAGTTGCATTCAAGGCTATGCAGAGAAAGTACGCATTCGAGATTATCCGCAACTTTGGAATAAGAGTTCTAGTCGTCTGGGGTCGCGTAAGGTGGTGAAGGAATGATAGTTGAATTTCGGCTGAAATGATACCCTTCAGGAAGAAAGGGCTAAATGAAATGCGATGAAAACTGCGGGCTAAGTTATGCTGCCCGCTTTTGCCAACTTTCATTCAGTTCACATCTCGTTCAGATGTAGTCACTTGAGGCTCTTGGGTTTGTTGTCCCAAATGCACATTCCACAAGATGCCATCGTATGACACTGATGAAAAAGTTAGCTACTTGTGGTTGCGAGATGGCCAAGGGAGTTCGAAGATGAGCCTATATGGCGGGGGATCATGTTAAAGAATACTTGGTATTATTTGAAAAAAGGCTGAAACTTTCAATCGGCCATCTGAGGTCAGAAGCGTATATTCTTATGAATTACAAAATTGAATAGATTTTGTGGAAACTACGTCTTCGCTTATCCGTGTTTTCCGGTTTAAATTAAGACGTTAGCTCCTTCAGTTTGTTCGACTTGTATTCACAAATTAGCTGTGCTTGAACACATAAGATGAATTATTCAGATTGCATTCATTTTGAGCGAAAGTGTTTGGTGAAGATAGTCACAACTAGGCAACGACAGATGCCTCTTGAACATCTGTCGAGCGGCTTTACTGGAAAATTCTTGTTGGCGCTGTTTCCAAAGCAATCTACTTCGAGTTCGGTTATTCATTATATTGAATATGGTCGTAAGGATGATGAGGATGTCCGTCATACTACGGACGAGAGCTTAGCAAGTTCTAACGGGAATTGGAGGAGATTACCTTGGAAACAGCTTCCACAAGAATGTTCCAACAAAGCCAATCGACAGCTGGGATCGGCCTTTGAATCTATTTACAAAACACTTTTACTCGAAATGAAAGTAAGCTGAATAATTATTAGCCAACAGATTCCTCGAAACCCAAATTTTCTTCGCGGTTAAACTGGAGTAAAACCAATACAGCAAAGAAAGACTACAAACTTTTGTCTTTAATATAAATAATAATCGAGACTATCATTAACACTTGAATAAAAATTGAGCATAGTCAGTCCAAAATGACTTAAGGATTGACATGTAAGAGTAGATATGTGACATTCGGGTAGGCCAGGCGCCTCTAAAATCACAATTCACAACGCACAATCGAATCTCGTTGGGGGTGAAAAAGAGGGATGGTGGGACGAGGTTGAGTCTGTTGCCCACTCCAGCCTTTTAGGAGGTAAGACTAAGGAAAATTGTGATTGTAGGGAAAGTTACTCAATTACTTACTTACTTACTTACTTGCTTACTTACTTACATACTTACTTACTTACTTACTTACTTGCTTACTTACTTACTTG